CATTGTTACCAGCATCTTTTTTTTTTTTTTTTTTTTTTTTTTTTACCAGCATCTCAGTTGTTGTACTTCACTACTTTCTCCTGATGCTGGTTGGTGAATGGCACCAAGCGAAACGAGCTGGGGATCACCAGACTGTGTGTGGTCTGAGCTTAATGTGGATTATGAAGGATGTGCTGCTTTTGTTGAGCAGTGTGTGCATTGTTCATTTTTTGTCCGTCACTAACTGACCTGTATGCTCCCATCTTTATGATCTGTATCCACGGATGGTTGCCGCAACCTGACTGTCCCTGATGAACATCTATATTGGAACTAGAGCTAGAGTATGCAAGATTGCGGGAAGGGTTCTGGGTAAGCGTTTAAACCGCCAGTACTTGGCCCAGCTATCGGCCGCAGAAAAAAAATAGAGTAGAAACGTTTCTACTTGGATGAATTTGGGCGCTCCTGTAGTGGCTCGGGCGTTTCCTAAAATCGTGGCGCGTTAACGGGCACGACTTTAGGAAGTACTGGTGGTTTAAGTGTAAGAATTTGCATGTTCCCCTGCCAGAAGCACAGGGAACCGCAGAGGACACCTGAGCGTGAGGGACGCGGGGGGCTGCAAACATTCAGCAATGACCAACCCCCAGAGGCCATCAGCACCGCCATCGTCCCCACTGTCGACAAGTCTTGGAAAATGTTTGGCAAACGAAAAAACTTACTCAAAAACAAAAAAAAAAAGATTTCGAAGGCTCGAAAAAAGACAAACAATGCCCGTGAATTTTCACAGAAATTACGAGCGATTAAAAAGTTCTCTATTTTTTGTGGTAATCTGCCTGTTCAAAAAGTAGCAAAAAAAAACGTATTTACTATTTACTTACTCCTACCACCCGAGCCAGAGCCACGGCCCCCTGCCACCTACATTGTTTTTGCTCGTTGGATTGTTGAACCGGCCATGGAGAACCCCAGATCTGGGGTCGACAATGCACGAAAATGAACAGCTCAGAAGTGTGCAGATCACAAGTCTCCTATTGACCGTGAGAAGGGAGTGCACCATAGTGAACTGAACTCTATAAAAATGAGCAAACGCGAGGAGAAGAGGAACCGCTCCAAGCACTGCAAGCAGCATCCGTTGCAAATGGACCCCACGGCCAGTCTGCTTTACTATGCCGTAGGGGATGTCCTGCAGGTTGCAGTGAGGGCCTGCTAACTTGAGGTGGATCATACTTGCGCGGTGAGTGCTTTTCAATTCGCCGTCTCACACATCTGCCGGCATTGCACATGGACCCTGGCCATTACATGGCCATTCATCATGCCTCTGACCAGTGGGAATGGAAGGAAAACAACGCCACAGTTGTGCTGCCTTTGACGTCGGGCAATCTTCATCGCAACAATGATGTTTCCTTTTGCCTCGCCAAATTGTCCCTGCTCTCTTTATGACATTGTAGAGGATCACCTGTCTGCCGCTGTGCTTGAGCAGGGCCGTGCGTCAACACTGTGGCGTTCTCTGCAGAGCTACAGATACTGTTACGCTGGCTGCAGGAATCTGCGCCCTTCTTTGGTTAAGAACTTAATTAAGAACCTTAAACCACGAGTGCCTTTCCAGGCTTTCCCATATATCGGCCGCGGGCCTGAATTTGCCCTGCGCGCTAGAGAAAAAAAAACGACACGGATGTATCTGGCTTGCGCCGCCAGCCATTTCACGGCGGGCCTGAACTTCCATGTTAACCGCCGTGGTATTGTTTTTCAAGCGGGGAAAGGTACTGGTGAGGCTGCACAGGCCTACACTTCCTGAGCTTTTACGTGATATTTGCTGGGGCAATGCCTTAACTTTATTTGAGAAGCCCGACTCGTCTGGGGCAAATGCCTCAACTTTATTCAAGAAGCCCAATTTTTGTGTAATAATCAGTGAGGCTGCACAGGCCTACACTTTCCAAGCTTTTACGTGTTATTTGCTGGCAGGGGGGCGTGCAGTTGGCAAGACAGCCCCCTTCCTGGACCACCAGGTACAAGGTGGATGTTTGTGAACCAAGAAGTTGTTCCTACAGAGGAAAAAATGTTTGTGTGCCCGCCTACCCGTCGCAGCAGCAGCCGTTGGGGGGAAACCCGGTGGATGAGCATGCGTCGTTGGCCGCTCTTCCCAGTGAACGAAGACTGCATCCCGCTACACCAGAGTTGGCAACGGCGACCTTTAGGAATACCTGTATCCACCTAAACACACCCTCTTTGAAAACCAACCACCCATACCCACTGTATACCTGGCCTACCGTCCCTTTACCTATCTCTACCTGCTCCAAAGAAAAAGACGTGTAGCCCTACCTGCCCTACCTGAACCTCTTCAGACTGTAACTGCCCATACCTGCACGTGGACATTTTTTTTTTTAACCACCCATGGCCATCTGAACCCAAACCGTTTGTCAACTGCCTATACCCTATCCAGACCAGTTTTCTTTACCCATACCCACCCACAATTGTATGCACCCACCCATAACCGCCCGCGCCTGTCTCCTGAGTCCTGACGCCCGCTGCCATTGCCGATCACACCTGTGACGCCCTTCTGCTGGGTCACAACCGCGACGCCGACCATGGAAGCTATGGAGGATGGACAACAACGGGCGGTGAGGAGGACAACGGGTGGGGACGTGAACGACCGTGGGGGATTCCAGGAATAGCGGGAACAGGGAACGGAAAGGGGCGGGAGGCAATACAAATGGGCAGGAGGCAATGGGCCTTGCTCCACTACTCACTAAATGTTGAAAATGAGAATGAATCTTCTGCTGGAACATGGGAAGATACACCACCTTTTTTTCTTCTTTGCATTTCATTAGTGGAGTGAGGCCCACTCGAAAGGCCCAACTCGAAGTCTGGAAACTTTTCGATTTTCAACAACGCAGTGGCTTGGTGGCGCTTTCAACGAGGCAGCGGGAAAAAAGCAATTAGGCCTCGAACTTGTGGTGGTGGGAGAGGGGGGTATGTCGCTGGGTTGGGGGGCTGGGTTGGGTAGGTACTAGGTATACCATGATTACCCGATAGGAACCTCTACCTGCCCGTACACATACCGGTTTTTTTTGTTGCCACCCGTAGCTGCCCATACCCGTTTCATTTTTCCTTTTGGCTTCCCATACCAGGGTGGTTTTTTTTTTCCCCTGCCCCTACCTGCCTCTGCCTGCCCATGATCTCAATAAGGGCAATTGTGCCCGTGCTAACAACGACCACTATTTTTTCTGCCTGCCCATACCCAACTCCACCTTCGGAAGGGGTACCCAGCCCCACCCGTAACCTGGCGGTTACGGTTGGGTACGGTTCCGTACGGGCAACGGTTACACGTTTGCTCTCTCAGCGCTACACGCTCGTCCATTCACGTGCTGCTTTTCCAAGCTTGTTGCCGTTTCGGACCAGAGTGAGAAAATGCCATTTTCTATGTGGCGCCCCCGAACTACTTCGAAACGATAAAAGTACCGAAAGTGAGCCTGTGGAGCAGGAGCCTAAGGTTCGATTTTGTTTCTTTTTCTCTCTTCTTGATTGCAGATGTCCACAACGTCTACTTTCAATTCTAAGGTTACCCTGTGGCGTCCCTCTGACCACAAGTCAAATTTTCTATAAAACCCTGGTGTCGTTTGGCCCTCGTATGTTTTCGTAGTGCCCCTACTGGTACCCACACCAAATTTGCAGCATGCCGCTACCAGATAGTCGTTGGAAACATTTCTGATATGCCCTACCGGTACCATCGATCTTTTGAACAGGTAAGTCTCCGACCTCGCGGCTAACCTCATACTACGTTCATCGATAGGATGAGCAAAATCGAATGAATCTACCGCTAGAACATGGAAATATACACT